GACGTGATTGGCTAATTTGTGAAATCACGCGCGCCGCGCGTGAATACAAAAAGAGTACAAAAAGGGAGAAGAAGAGAAAATTTGTTACTTGAAATTTGAAAACGGAAGAGATTTTCTACATGTAGGCAGTTTACCTATCGGGCTTCGTCAAACTCTGGCCATCCATGTTGTTCATCCCAGTTGGCCCATAATTCCACGGTACCTCGTTTGCTGCGATGTAGTACCTCCTCGTTTTCCCGCCACTCACCGTTGGCACGTAATCACTCTTACCAGCACACTTCGTGACGTTGTACAAAGCATACATACCAGCATTATAATGATCGTTGACGAGGCAATTCAACATCCACGTTCCGGGATTCAGTGCCTTCATAGTTGCCGTCACGAAAGTTGCTGGAAGAAGAGAAGCTACATCTTTGCGATGACCATCGATAATGAACGACTGTCCGTGAAAGTAAGCTGCATTTGTGAAAAAAATTATAAACATTAAACAGGAGCCAGGGACAAGCACAGTTGCAACGTAATTAGCTATATTTTCGTTGAGGACCCACTGGTCCATAAATGGTCAGCGGAGAGCTCTATATCCAAAAAGTGTGGGTCCCAGTCCTAGCCGGGTTATGGCGTAAGTTGACACTTAATATGGTGACACCTTATTGTCGTATCAGTCCATTGATGTGACCGAAGCTTCCAGCGGTTTCTGTAGTTTGAAGCGACTAAGAAGTTTAAGAATACTAGTCTATCACAGGTTACCCCAAAGGTTCCAATTAAAGCCAGTTACTGGCGGTCTAAACCCCCTCCCTTCCATAAGACCTCCTATCGTCGTCTCTTAAGCCTGCGAGCGAGCAGGAGCCCAGAACGCTGGAAATAACACTTCAGTGCTTTTAGATTTCAATTTGTTTGTGAATGAGCATGTTCCCCGACCCCTCTTCTTTTCCGGGCACACCCCCATCCCCCCTTACACAATCGACAGCCGTTTATGGAAAAAGTTACTGAAAACCCTGGTGACTCCCATCCCCCACTCACGTAATTCGTCAGGTTTCCCATCTTGTAAATATCGATTCCATCATACCCCTGATTTGAGAAAAGCGATAGAAAGCGAGTTTTATTGCCAAAGAAGTAACACAAAGTCTCACGAGGACTCGAAATAGAACGCTGTTTAGTAGGCGAACTATCAGGTGGAGGGGGCTAGCAAAATTCTTTCGATGGCTTAAAATAAACATTACTCGAGTGTAGACAAGGTTCGTGCCCTTTTACCTAAGCTTCTTGACAAACTCACCAGTGTGAATGTCCACTTCATTTCCAATCCCAGCCAAGTGCCATTTGACAGAATCTCCCAGACAAATCTCCAGGCCGGGCAGATTTCCGTAGAAGTAACCGTTAATGGCATGCATCTTGTTACTCTCTTGAAAATCTTCGTCCTCTGTTTTCACTCCCAAAGGATCACTACAAAACTCGTCGATGTTCTTCTGAAGAAGCCAACTTTCATTTTCATCCAGCACCGTGAAAAGACCAACGAACTCCTTGTCTACTCCTTTGGGTCCATCGCCAGATAAAGCTCCCTTCTTACAAGTCAACATGATTCCTGAAATAATTAAAGTAACAATCCCACGCTTTAGCGCAGGATTCATGAAGCGAAGGCCAGCCCAGAACAAAATCGCGACAGTTTTGTACCTGCTATCCACAATCAACCCACGTCTTTTCAATTTGACGGGGCGAGATTACTAAAGCGGAAATATCGATAGGTGAATAAACTAACAAATGAGTAATCAGGCAAAATTGTTAGGAAAAAATACGGTCATCGCATAGATAGGCATGCAACGCGTACTAAAGACAGACGACGACATGAATTGACAAAGTTGAATCAATGCTAGTACCTACCCCTCCCCTAATCCAACATGAACCCTAACTTGTTATCAGTTGAATGTTGTTAGGTTAGGGGAGGGGTAATTTCGCAGTCGCTAAGATACTGACATTGATCCACAAAGTTAATGAACGAGAAGACATCGTCATCTGACTCACCGTCAAAAATGGTAAAAGACTAGATTTTCTTAATTTCTCGACTAGAACATAATCTTCAATAAGTCAGTTCTATATCTCCTACAGTCCTTCCCGCAAACAATTTTGTTTATTTGCTGGAATTGTTTGGTTGTTTCTCTCGCTAGAGCTTTAAGGCCAGACAAAAAGAAGGAGATATTTCCTTGAAAATGTCTTATTGATTGTCTCTAACACTCTTCGACCTAGCTTCTTAGCCATACATTGTACATTGAGCTATTTATCACATAAGATTACCTAGCAGCCCAGTGTTAATGTCCTTGTGAGGCAACACATGCGAATGATAGATCCACGTGAGACAGTCATCGTCGCTGTCTGTTGGCGCGTGAGCATTCGTTAGCTTCCAACTGTATATGTGACTTCCGTCAGGAGGCACGTGATCATCGTTCTTGTCGCTCCCAGTGGTCTTGTCTTCGTATAAAGCACCTTCAGAGTCCTTCCTGTAGAAGACCCCGTGTGGATGCATCGAAAAGTTCCGACTGGCTGTATTCTTGAAGTGGATCTCAATCGTGTCTCCCTCCTCGCCCTTCAATATGGGCCCTAGAAAGCCGAGGTATTGTGGGTGGTCCATCTCCGTGCTGTAGGTACCATCTGTGTATTCACGATAGAGTACCTTGTTGTAAACGCTCCCTATTGTGTGAGCACCTCTTGTGGTGAACACGGCGGCATCACTTCATAGTGAAAAAAAAAACACAATGGAGTTTGCTTTTCTGGCAAAACTATAATAGCCTCTACCACAGAGATTCTTTATGGTGAGGTAGGCCGTTATTACAATCAGCATCAAAATTAATTTATACATCATGTTTAAGAGCTCATTTTATGAGTTGAATGACACTCCTGTTTCTAACATTATCTTTATCATTGAAAAGACCCCCCCTCTCGGGGTGACGGGGCGAATAGGTTTATTCAAAAAGGGCAAAAGAGATGAAATTGAAGTAGTCGGGTGTTGAAAAGGTCAATGTGTCAACAACTTTGTCGCTGATTGTAGATTCATGTGTGACAAGCCAAGAGGCGGGGGGAACGGAGGATTTTGCGGGGATCACATGGTTTTCAGGGGGGAACGGAAGGGGATCCGTCGTCGCCAATTGAATACAGAATGCGGACAAGACAAAATTGAGTACAAATAAGTCGGGATCATAGGAATATCACAGAGCCTTATAAGAGATTCCATCACATTTTATTGCAGCTCAACCAAAATACTCCGACCCACCCCCTCCCCCGGTCCCTTAGCTTCAAAACCCTCGGGGAGGGAGGGGGTGAGGGGACACTTCTCGATAGACATGCTAACTTGGGCACCTACAGTTGCCTCAAATTCTCCCAACCCCACTAGTGTTTGGATGAATAGTAAAATAGAGAAGATCGAGATCAGACGAAGAAAGCATGAAAGAATAATGTCGGTTCGATTCACTGAGCGGAACAGAAGCTTTATATAACTGTTCCATTTTAATTTTCTTGAGGAAAGATCTGTTAATGGTTAAAAATGTCCAAATCCTACTGAACACAGCTACCTTTCATATGCAATTGCAATTATAACAATCGCGATCGATGCTGGGAGAACGCATTCTATGCTTCTTTCGGGATGCAAAAGGAACGAGTTGAGCAATCGACTGCGCCCCGCATTAGCCGGCGAACATATTTGAACGTGTACCAGACACCAAAAATAATCGTATGAGAAAACGAATGGATCTAGGGAAGAAAATGGAAGGTTCGAGAAATTATCACCTTAGTACTAAGCAGGTAGCCAAAAAGTTTGAATTCCAAACTAAATCACCCATAGGGTGTTCATGTATATGTAGCTCAGGGGCAGCCTTCAGAGAAAGGCAAAACAGACGTGGTAAAGGAATACCAACTGAAGATCTCTGGTTTATTCTTGTTTATCCTGGTAGACACGCAGCTGTCCTCCGTGCACACGAACGCGGGGGCAATAATCAAACATATGATACAAAAAAAGAAGTCAATTTTGAGCATGGAAATTTCTTCACGACATTGGAAATTATTAACAACAAAATGCCGAAGCCGAAGTTCGTACAAGGGTAGAGGGTGGTTGACTCAATGTCCAAATTTTCGCGGTTTGTTTACAACAAAAGTCACGTGACACTACACATGATCTCTATATCCTCTGCAATGTAAACGGTTTATATTCCCTTTTAACCGGAAGCAACTGGGTGCGTTTCAGCCTTCGTTTGAGAGGCTCAAAGTACTTCTAGCTGCGCGCGCTTCACTCGACTTGCAAGGAAAAGGTCTCACCAAAGATTGCTTGGAGCTGGATGGAATAAAATGACCCGAAGCATTAAAGAGATTTCCCCCCCCCCGACTGATTCCGTCACGACCCGTCGAACGCTCCATTCGAAAAAATATTTTTCCTTGAAGGGGCACGGGGTTACATGTTGAACGGAAGGAAAAATGTTGCTTGGAGAAGTTTCATGCTAGTCTTATGCTAAGATTTTGCACAATCGGGAGAAATCTAATCAACACCTTGTGATTTTACGCTATTACTGAGTTGTAAAATCACATTTACAGATCTCTATCGAAATCTTTAATTATAAGAGGAGTTCGATTTGTTATGCACCATCATCGTCACGAAATTTTTTTCACCGTAAATTTGCATATAAAAGAAATTGAAGGTCTCCTTGTGTATGGTATTGAGCTACAGGGAATGAAATGATCGAAGGTGTACGAAAAATCGCAACTTTGAACTCGAATAACACGGCGAATACCACGTGTAATTATCATTTCCCACGTCAATTGAACGTGAAATGTGTCATGGATGAGAAATTTCAGGGAAGGGAATTATTGCACCGCGAGCGGTGTTATAAATCGCTTCTCAGGAAAATATCTTACAACATTAGTAATAACCTGATCATGATCATGATATGAGGCGGAAGCTTGCATGTTACTGCTCTCGAAATCTAACCGCGTGCGTTCACGTAAAATTAAAGAAAATACCGTAATCACCTATCTTCGTCAAGCTTCAACCCTTTCACGTTGTTGTAGCCACTTGGAGCATAGTTCCACCTTCTTTCAACTGCTGCGATGTAGTGTTTCCTGATCATGGACGAAACGAGGTTCATGTGTAGAGAAACTGCACAAAATACCAACCAGATGAACGCTGTATTTGACTTCGCTAACTTCATAGCTCGTCAACTTCATCTACGTTACTCAAAATATATTAGTGTCGGGTGACTTGCCGCTGAAAAGTCGTTCAATCTAATCGAATTGACCTCAACGAAGAGAGACTCAGTCTGGCGTCTGAAGAGAACTGGCAATCCGGTTTAACTCGTAAATTCTGTGATCAAGTTTCCCAGCGTGCTGTTGTTTGGTGGAAAATCAAACGAGACATGACAAACGACATCTGATGTAGCCCAACCCCGGAAATACAAACAGTGGGTTTAGCTGTCAATCTCTTCAATTCTTACATTTAGTAGCCTTTTCACTTTAACAGTGATTTCTTTTGAATAATGTGTTTTATTGACGCTTGAATAATTTCTTCGCTTGGTCAGATTGTTTTAAACACCAAACAAAGAAATACCCGCATAGCTAACACCGCTCAAGAAAAATACGGGCATTAGTTTATTTAAATTTGAGGTTCTGAGGTTGTCTGCGGAAAATTGTAGCTTTGAAATATGAGTTCGATTCAAAATGAATGTGACATGGTTTTATTTTATTTGTTTAATTTTTTTTTTTAAGAAACCAAGCTTCTCGTTGTCAAAGTAGCTGTTCTTACCACCAGCACAACCATCAGCGAAACCAAAAAAACTATTGTGGTTTCTGGTGAACTAATGGATCACCTTGTCATGTGATACACTTTTCACCCCGCTAAACAGGACCAGAATATGCGTGCTAAAGGCCGCGCACTGATGCATAAAGAGGTCTCCGAATGGGTCGGCATGGGTAAAAGGTAACGTTAAAAAAATAATGAAAAACAACTAAAATAAATCATGCGGTTAAGTCAGCTTACCAGCAAGAAGGTCTTCCCTGTCGAAGCTTAACCAGCAAGAGCAAGAGGAAGTTGTTCTCAAATCTCAATCATTTACAACTGACTTATGGCGATTGACCCAAGGGAACCTACATGATGTTTTACCCGCAGCTAGAGCCTTGTTCTAAGATGGTTAATTTTGTGTCAATAATGTACTTTCCATCTCCACCCCTCCGTCATGAAATTTGGAAGTAAGCCACCCCCCATTGCCAAACTATGAACAAAACAAAGCTTCTCGAAGAATGGATCAATTCGCTTGGTTTCTATCTGCCATTGAAAAGATATGCGTACTTGAAAATTCCTTCTCCTTTCCCAGTCCCGCTTTTGTTGCCTTTCTGAAGCGGTTCTTTGCAGTGAAAGCGTACAGCGTACAAATAAGGCAGAGTAGTCCCGGATCCTAGTGTCCGGTGTCTAAATTGTGCTCTCCATATGACTTCCGATATACCAAAAATATGGCGCTGTCATCAACGACGAATTCGACCGTCACTTCTACCACTGAAACCGGTGAGATTTCCTTTAAATTACTTTTTCCTTCTTAAATGTGATATCTTATTATCTTTGTTTTTATTTTAAGTACTTTCGACGTTACACGCAATGGCTACTACCGACCACACTGATGAGGATAACAGAAATTTTTATACTGGCCTCGGATTAGCGATCAGTTCTAGCGTTTTCATCGGGACCAGTTTTATCATCAAGAAGAAAGGCTTGCTTAAAGTGAAAGATAGCTCAGGGACGAGAGCAGGTGAGGATTCATTGAGGTATGCGTCGCTTCATCAGTTTGCGGTGTGCTACACGTAATGAATGCTTTCGATTTGCAGGACATACACATGAATTTTTAAGTACAAGAAGCGTGATCATGAAGCTTACTATCGATATTAGCGGATGAGCTGAAATGTTATGAATTTGAATTAATGTATCTGTTATTTTGTTTCTGTGTTTAAGGTCAGGGCGGCTACGCTTATCTAAAGGAATGGTTGTGGTGGTCAGGAATGATTACAAGTGAGAAGGAATTTTTTTTTAAATGAACTAGTGTACTGCATGAATTGACACCATTCTTCCCTCTTCAGCACAGAGCAAATATCATTAAGAATAGAGTGGCAGATGTTTTGTTTTTCCGTCTCCGAAGGAACGGCAGTAATAATCTTTTCGACTCTCTACTTGTCACTTGGCATATATTGTTCGGATAGTTATCTCTTTATATTATTTTGAGACAAGTTTTGCGTCTATTTAAAACTGTTATGTGAGAAATATACTAACAACAGTTTCGGTTAATAACTGGAAGGTGTCACTCAATTTTAAGCTAAATTGGTAATCGTATTTTTACCAATTTCACTGAGTCCTTAGACACTTTAAATTGTATATACCTGAGTTAATGTAAAATTTCAACATCATCAGTTGTAGTAATCATGAGCTTCACTACAATAATTGTCGAGTAAGCGTTAATTTCCTTATCTGTAGAGTTGTGCTTACAATTAACCACAGCTAATATGTAGAGTAACTTTTCCTTATGTTTCCAAAGTCATCCAGGATTTCCCTTGTTTGACTTTGCCTGTGGTCTAGAAAAACTTGGAAAAACAAAGGCCAATCTGGACCAGATCATAAAATAATATAATAGGCCTCTCTTCGTTCATTTCATTGTTTCCACGTTGAGTTCTCATTTGGCTTTTTCTGATACACATATACTGACCATTGTGAACACTCTGATAAAGTTTTACAACAGCCATTTTAGAAGAGTGCTGTTTACATTTCAGTCAATCAGAGCTTAGATTATCTAGCCGCATGCCAATTCAGCAGGATGTGCAAGAGGAATTATAGCAGAAAGGAGACTTAGTCAAAACATGTGGCTTTTTTTCTTTTCTTGGAATAAACACAGCATTTTTTTTTTCAGTGGTTGTTGGTGAAATTGCCAACTTCACAGCATATGCCTTTGCCCCAGCGATTCTTGTCACTCCATTGGGATCTCTTAGTGTGTTGGTGAGGTAGGTTCACATTGATAGTGAAGGTTAATTTCTGCTTATTATCTCATATCATCTGTGGGTAAACTGTCTAGGAATATCCCAAAGTAACTCTTTGATCCCTAAGAATGACTAGCATCAAATTTCTCCTCACAACATCACCCCTAAATCACACTACAAGGTCATGGGAATGAAGGAAATAATCACCAACTGAAGAAGCTCTTGATTATAAAACAAATTCTTCATGTCAACATCGTAAAAGAAGTGTAGAGAATAGTATGGAGAATGTACATACTGATGTCAGGGTACAAAGGATTAAGGACAAATTTTCTGGTTTGTGTACTAAATCTCCTGGCTTTTCTCTGAGTTTATCAAGTCAAGAACTGATCTCCTGTTCTTCCAGACAGTTTGCTTAAATCTCTTGGATGAAAGTTGATTTTTAAAAGAAGGAGACTCTGATAATGTTATCAGTGTCAATCAAAACAGAGATACAGTACTTGTGTTTTTGCAATTTTCTAGAATCTGATTGTGTCAAGGAAAAAAAGTTAATGAGCTTGTTGTTCTGAAGTGTGTTCACTTGTTCTTATTTCACAATCATGTTACTGGTCTTAGCACAATCAACAGTAGCAACTGTCCATTTGTTTGTTAGGTGTTCATGGTTCTCTGACTTTTACTGACCCAAACCCTAAGCAGAGTGTTCTTTCTTGCAGTGCAATGCTAGCTTCTTATTTTCTGAAGGAGGAACTAAATATTCATGGTAAAATTGGCTGTATCCTGTCAATCATTGGATCCACTGTACTAGTCATTCATGCACCACAGGAAGAGGAAGTAAAGAGTATGGATAATTTGGAACCAAAACTTACATCACCAGGTGTTTATTTTTTTTTTATGACAAATGTTAATCCTTTCACCCTAAGATCTCAGAATAAATTTTTTTAACTGTCTGCCACAATGGGAGACATGGTGGCCAAATGATTAGTGCTCTAAACTCTGGGCTTAGAAGTCTGGGTCAAGACCTGGTTGGGTTGGGTCTGTGTGGTGTTTCTTGGGCAAAACACTTAACCCTCACTCTACCCTCCTTACTCAGGAGTAGAAATTACTCACAACAAATTGTCAGGGTAGCCTGATAAAATGCAAGGGGGTAATCTTGCAATGGGTTAGTATCCCTTGCAGAGGGGAGTAGTGATGCTCCTAGTTGCTTCATGCTAAGGAAGCAGGATAACCTCTGGCTGAGCAGGCCACTTTGCTTGAGTAGAAACCACTACCTATCATTTGTTATAATTTCAGCTTGGAAAATTTTGTCATCATTGCTTAATCAATCAATGTTTCTTACTAACTTTGTGTAAGTTGAATGGGTGGGAGTTCATGGCTGGGTTGCAGAGAAGCCTAGGATACCTGCAGCATCCACCAACCATTTCATCATAGACAGTGGTTTTAACCCTTTAAATCTCAAGATCTAGATGTTAATTCTCCCTTCTGGCTGCTATACATTTCCCTGTAAACTGGTTACAAGAGTTTGGTGTTCAATCAAGATGACAACTTCTACCTAATAGGTTTGAATATTCTTATCACTTGTTTTGCTGGAAAATGTTTGGAAATTACAGGGAGAAGTTACATGTTCATCACTTATGGGAATAAGAGGGTTAATTAAAGATTCTACTAATTTTAAATATCTGAAATAATTTATTGAGCAGTATTTATTTATGTTTCCTTCAGGATTTATCAGTTATGGATTCATAGTTATTGTCTTTGCACTTGTGCTGATATTCTATTATGGACCTCGATATGGCAAAGCAAATGTTATGGTGTATATTGCAATCTGTTCCCTAATTGGATCATTGTCAGTTATGGGATGCAAAGGTCTTGGTATCGTTATCAAGCAGACATTACATGGAGACAGTCAGCTAACAAATCCAGTCGCGTGGGTATTGTTATTTGCTGTGTTAGCCTGTGTCTTGACACAGATGAACTACTTAAACAAGGCTCTTGACATATTCAACACATCATTGGTTACACCTATATATTACGTCATGTTTACAACATTAACGATCATTGCTTCAGCCATTTTGTTCCGGGAGTGGGAAGTAATGGGCATAAAGAACACAATAGGTGCAATTTGTGGATTCGCAACAATTGTGTCTGGAGTGTTTCTATTACTTGCATTCAAGAATGTCGACTTCACTTTAAAAGACATTCTGAAGTTAAACTCCCAAGCAAACGGCATTCCTAAAGTGAAATATTCAAGCAAACAACCTAATGAAGAATCACAAGCAATCCTTATACACAATGACACCGGTATCACTGATGATGAAGAGGAAACTGTGTTTGCCAATAGTATAAATCATTTATGACATTTTTGAGTCAATGATATTTAATTTTATAATAATGATAATGTAAAATTGTTAAGGTAGCTAAAAGGGTGAGTGTTTTCTTGATTAGCATCACCAATTTATAAGTCACATCTTTTGAAACCCAAGTGGTAAATGTGAAAATAGACAGTTACTTGAATGAGTGTTTTGCACAAAACCACTGTTCATTTTATTTATACAATATTTCTACATTAAGGATTGTCTTATACTGACTTACTCAGTTGACCTAAACCAATATTCAGATAGACAAACACTAGCTTAAACTCTTTTGAGTGAATAACAAATAACTTCTCCCTTCTCACATCATCATGCAGACAGCTGACAAGGATACAGAAAAACTTTCAGCCTCAGTTTGTGTTTACAATATTGCTCAAAAATCTCTCGACTGCCATAACAGGAAATTCAAAGAGAACTTATAATCAGATATCAATTCAAGGCTTTTAATCTGGCTGCAATTCTATTTCATAACAATACCAAATTTATGTAGCGTCACAGGGTTCTCAATAAGTCAGGGAGTAGAAGGCTGACTGCTGGGAGTAGATTGTTGACAATTTGGGGGCTTCTTCCAGGGGTCCTTGGGTATGCCACTCATAAAATATATTTGAAAGGTAGTTGCTCTGGAATGCCATTTTGAGCATTCTTTTGAAGGTATGTGCAAAGCAATATGGTAGTTGGCTGGCTAGGTAAACTTGTGCCAGTTGTAGATTGCATAAGTGCTCAACCAGCAGAATGTGTTTTTGTGGAATGCCAAAATGGCTTTTGAGAAAGTTCTCCATTTTTTTTTTTTTTTTTTGTGAATACTGCCATCTTTTATATGGTGAATTTGTACATTCTCTAGAGAATCTGAAAATGTCCTTAAATTTTAATGTTTGTCCAAAGGTATAGCACTGTGACAGAGGTTTTGTACTACTTGTAGTTTTATAGGAGCAATGAAACATGTTTTGTTTAAATTTCATTTGTTGAATCACATAATTTTTCAGTGCTGTACTTTTTGGTGGCTAATTTCAACCAGTTCTCCCAGCCCAGAAGCTCTCTCTCACCCCAACAAGCAATTTTTTGAAAGATAGTTGACAAAAGGTAAAGTCTGTACTCAAAGGCAAGTGGCCCATCCAGCTGGAGCTTATCTCTGTTTCCATAGCATGAAGCAAATCAGGAGTATTACAATTCCCCCCTGAATAGGATACCAATCCATTGCAATGTTTCCTCTCAGTATTTCATCAAGCTTCCCTGACAATTCATGAGTACCTATTTATTATACTCAGGGGGGGGAGAGAGGCACCCCAAAAGTGCAATGTTTTGTCCACCAGCACACTGTGTCTTCCACTGGATAACACTGTATTCATAAATCATTGCTGGAGAAAAATGCATCATACAAGTAACTATTGTCAGGGAAAGGAAAAAGAAATACCAAAGGTTGGCTGTGATGCATATAAAAAAGAAAGTATAAAGTTTCAAGGTTATAACTAGTGATAAAAATTTCAAGTTAAAATGGTATTTACACTGGTTTTTATTTTAAGGTGAGCAAAGAGTTAATTAGTACTTTTGACAACATTGATACTTTATGTTTAGTTGTTCATTAACCTGGTAACTAAACTTATCTTGGTTGTTGTATGATTTTAAAGACAATTTTTTCTTTTCAGGCTGAATTCTCAACCAAAGGTGATCACACTTTTTACAGTAACATTGTTACAAAATTTGTTTTTTGCACTTTCAAGTTTTACTACACCAATTCCTGCAGATTCATTATACTGTAAAAGTGCTAAGTTTATTTCACCAAAACATGAAACTTTGTTCAGCCTGGACTCTACCAGAGATTAACCTTCTCTTGAAATGTTTTTACACAGATCCACAACACTATTATTTATACAATGTGAAGTTTTCAATTTAACTATCTTTAATTTGTCAGTACTCTCAAAATACACCCCTAAGAAAGCTAGAGGAATTAAATCCCTCCCTCTGTTGCAAATCTACTTCCTCCGACAATTCTCCCTCCATGTACGAGCATCAGCTCGGTTTTGGTTTGTAATTGGTGTATAATCCAGTGTCTTGAGCCTTGGAAGTGTTGAAATAATGTGTTGTTTATAACTAGGAAGGTCTTCGATGTCATTTCCATGCAGTGTTAGACTAATAAGCTCTGGAAGTTCAGCTAGTTTGTCCACTTCTGAAAGTTTTTCAATGCTGTTTGCATGCAGGTTTAAAATCTTCAGCTTTGGATACTGTAGCA